TAGTTTATTAAGAGTACTAGCTTGTTTATACTTTTAAAATGTCAGCAATCAGTGGTCTTGTTCAGACTGTAGAAAAATAAAATTTGTGTAGCTCATAATGATAAAATATTTTTTTCACAATGAGATATTTTGTATCATTGCTATACTCATTTTCTAATCATGATAATACTAGAATTATATATTTCATTAAAAAAAAAAAAATTAGCTTCAAATTTTTACTCTAATCATGTTTACACAGCACCTAATGAAATGGAAATATATATCTCTGTATTAGAATGCCTGGTTTCATTCAAACACTGGACAAATAAGTGGATCCCTAACCTTTAAACTCCCTTAACCCATTCCCGACAGGCATGGCATGTACATACATGCCATGCCCACAGTGAGTTTATTTGTTTGATTGTTTTTACACATAGATGGCTACAATTGTACGAAATCACCAATGAGCCAATTACAAGTGATGCCTTTCTCACCCGTTTACCCTTTCCTTTAATTTACGAAAATATTTTTACGTTACCTTATTTTGCTATTACCAATGTTTATAACATTATAGTAATTATAATATGTATAATAAAAATAACATCAATATTCATAACACTAGTAAAAAAAATACATTTTCCCGCCAATTCAAGGAAAGGTGAACTCAGGTAAGGTAGAGCCATCTATGTGTAGAGACATTTCACAAAAATATAAAAAAAATGAGCACAGCATTTTCCCCATTTTTTATTCATTTTCCCTGGGGGCAATGGGTTAATCCATTCCCGACAAGCATGCCATGCCATGCCCACTGTGAGATTACTTGTTGGATTGTTTTTACACATAGATGGCTACACTTATACTAAATCACCAATGAGCCAGTTACGAGTACTGCCTGTCTCACCCATTTGCCCTTATCTTTGATTTACAAAATATTTTACGTTATCTTATTTTGGTGTTACTAATGTTAAAAAACATAAAAATTATAATGTTTATAATAAAAATAACACCATCAATATTCATGGCACTAGTGAAAAATACGTTTTTTCCGCCATTTCAAATCAGGCACTAACAGAGCCATCTATGGGCAGACATTTCACAAAAAAATATAGAAAATAGGCACAGCATTTTCCCCATTTTTTGTTCATTTTCCCCAGTGGTAATGGGTTAATCTGACCAGATTACTGCATCATCAATGCTGCAATGAAAAAGTATAGAAATTAGGGTGTATAACTGGCAACAAATATGAACATTTTTGGCAGACTACATAATTTTTCAATCATTGAAACCAATATTCATTAAGACAGGAACTAGGAGAGAAACAAAATATCAAGGAGGAACGAGGGATATACTGTAGGACAGGTATTATACATAGAGGATGGCAAGAGCATAGGGTCAGAGGAGCAGGAAAAAAAAGGCAAGATGAGAAAATTATGAAACTAATTAAAATAAGGACCTACCAGTCAAATTCACAATTCAGTTTCTTCTTAGCAAAATGGCGAAGCTCAATAACTTCTGGGGTCTTGTTGCTGGCCATTGTGACATACAATCGGCTATTGGGTCGAATCACTATATTGTGCTGACTAAGCTTATTAATCAATTCCTTGCAACCACCAAGTGTCAGGCTACTCCTTGGGAACCTCAGGCTGTAGAACTTCCTTGAAGATGGGAAGAAAAGAACAAATAAGATTATTTTACAATTTTGCTTTGATCTGCATTCCATGGATGACAGAATTGTCGTATCCAAATACTGACTTGCATGGTATATAGATACATGCCATGCCCACTTTGAGTTTAGTTTATCATGTTTACATGTAGATGGTTTTATAAGTCACACTGATGGCTCTACAAGTACTTTAGTAACCAAGGTGTCAATAACTGATAACAGCAGTGTTCTTGGTTACAATGGATTAATAGTAAGATTGTAATCCATTAAAGATCTATCATCTCTCTCTCTCTCTCTCTTGAAAAGGGCAACTTCCTGGTCTATTATACTACTATACAACTCTTCCAATCCCTTACTCAACCCGTAGCCCTCACAACACATCCCCACTCAAACTCTCCCACCACCATCACTTTTACTACAACTATCCACTCTACCACCACCACCCCTATTCCAACTCCCCCTTCCACATCATCACCAATCGTACCTCTATTCCCCACTACTACTTACCCCAGTGGAGGTTGCAGTACTTTTGCAACCGTGACAGCCCAGTCAATATCTTCGTCACTTACTCCCGAGATCCAGACTGCCCCCGTTTCTTTCTTGGGCTCATTAATAATGGGCAGGGGCCCCAAAGCCTCAGGGGAGATGCCTTTTATCACGTGGACTCCTGCACAAGTGGTGGAAAGCAGATTATTTTTGCCTACATTGTTGTTGGGGACAGCAGAATAATTCTCATTAATAAGTATTCAGACATTTATTTTAGACAGTCATAAGGATATCTTACAGGCTATAACTTTGTAGTTTAAAAGTGGTGGTCAGAAATGAAGAGTGTAGAAAAGCGAGGATGTACTGATGCGTTAACCCTTAAAAGACTACATGTTTCTAATTCCTACCCCTTAAGAAGGTGGGGACAGGTAGACATGTTGAAAAAATAATATGACATTTAGAAGAGCTGAAACTAAGTGCCCAAAAAAAATCTAAAGGAAGATTGCGTGATACTGAGAATATGTACTGTAAGTTATATTAGTTTCGAACTAAAGCTGAGAAAAATACAAATCTGTGATGAAGTTCAGAAGCCAATTTTTTATACAAAGCAAATTAAAGAAAAAGAGAGTAATAAGTGACTAAAAATGTAGCTTAATAGCAGAATTAAATAACAATAAAAAGATTCTACAGACTCTGTGATTGAACTAAAAGTCAACAAATCTAAAAGGTGAGTTAAAATTTGAGTAAATGATAGAATCACAAGAGTGCACAAGGTACAAATAATTTTTTAAATTGTATAAAACAAATGTAAAGGAAAATATCCTTATTTGTCATAAAAAACATTATTTCAGATTTTTATGACTGGTAGTTTTCAGAAAGAATTTTGAGCTTCTGCTGAGTGCTGTGACTAAATGTTATATCAAAGGTGTGTGTTTACTGCCTGGTAACTTGTCAGAAATTTTAACTTTCACATAGACCTAGTTAAGACATGGTCTGGGGAGACTACATGCCTGTGAACATAGTGATTTATTTTTGCTCTTTCTTACAAAAGATTAAGGCTGATGTACTTGACCTCTTGTGAGCTGTAATTCTAGTCTTGAACTAGAGCTGAAAAAAATACAAATCTGTGATGATGCATCAGAAGCTAATATCTTGGAAGAGCTAACATAAGTTGAAAATAAAGAAATAAATGCATGTCCTTCAGATACCTACAGCTCCTCCCAACATGGGGTCACTGCAGTTTGACTGACAGGGCAGAGGGGGGGCAGGGGGAGGCTGACAGATTAGGCCTTACAAAATAGAGCTCCAGATCTGACCTACCAATAGATATGAATTTTGATCTCCTTTATCATCTGCAGGGGTTAAGGAAAGTCTAAACTCTGTATATGAGTACTTTTGTGTAAACATTCCCACGGTATTTAGAAATCTATAGTTCTTCCAATACCACTTGTTTGCAATTTGCCTGAATTTAGAAAATTGTCAAATTTTCCTTTAAACACTTCCACAGACCTCTTAGATGTGTTTCTAATATTTTTTTTTTGGCTCATTATTATATAGTCTTTTCCTATTAATTAAGATATTTTGATGACACATTTTTCTTAATCAGGAAGTCTGTGAAGTTAACCTTGAACGATAACATTTTTCCCTGAATGTAGGAAAATGTTGGACGGGCCACAGGCGAAGGCCCGGGCAAAGCTAGAACTGGATTTGATGACAAAGTTTCAATCATCTTCCACACATATATAGTGAAGTGTCTTTCTCTCTGTCTTTGTAAAGAGCTTGAATTGTTTTAGTCTTTATGAGACATGAAATATTATGTCTTTTGTGACTTGGTTTCCATATTTGGCACTGATATTCCAATCTTCCATAATGGTAGTTGGTATTATGGGTATCTTCTCTGAAAAGCTCTCATTATCTATCCACTCATAACTTTTCCTTTTGTTAACTGTGCGCTTGATGTGATAACTAATGGTCACATCATCATTCATGAAGAGGCCTAGGCCTATTAGAACTACATTCTTCTTTAATCTCTATTTCTTCAATACAGTATGAGAGCCTTTGGTCTCAGACTTCCAGCAGGAACATATTTCATGATTTCTAATTTATCAGCAGGGTAAGTCATGTTTTTTCACTTGCCCATTTACAAATGGCATGCAGGTCCTTTATTAGTTTGCCTTCATCCTTTATTAAACTTGGCAGTGTACACATCCTTGTATCAATGTTGAATGTTGAATATATGCATTTATAGCTTTGGTTATTATTAGAAACAACTAAGGTCCAAGAATTAAGCCTTGTGGTACTCCACTTCTGGAAACAATATCCAACAGGGCTGGATGGCACCATTCCACACCTTTATGCCCAGCCAAAACAAAGGCAATGCCTGCCAGTCAGAGCTCTCCTGAGACAACATCTTCATCAAAGGAAACAGCTACTTCACATGGACATTCTCAGCACCCAATGAGAAGGGGGTCTTTTGGGAGTCACAAATCTACCTTCAACAATAAACCCACAAGCCAGGACTCTTTCATAAACCATGGCAACTGATGACAGTGGTCTTTCCTTGCCATCTGGTGGCATGTGGTGCCCACAACCTCTTTCTCATCTATAACTTCTAACAGTTGATTTATTAAAACAATATCCATTGATAATTACTTCTTGTTTGCAAGTTGTATCTGTACTTTTATTTCTCCCAATTCCAAGATCCATTAGCTTGTATGGTAGAATTCCATGGTCAATTTTATCGAAAGATTTCACAATCTAAATGGATTATATCAGCATTATTTCCAGTTAGGTCTTTAAGTATGTTTGCCATGGTTCAGTATTTGGAATAGCCAAGTTCTGCCCGTTCTAAAGCCATGCTGTGCAGGGTTTA